AAAAAAAAAAAAAAAAAAAAAAAAAAAAACAGAAGTATCCCCCTTAGTCTACTCTGATCCAAAACGATATAACAGAAACATTCCTTTCCAAAGAAAGTCAGCTTCAGAATTTAAGATAAAATTCAAAATAGAAAACTATCAAAAAGAAAAGTCTTCCTTCAAAATACAACACTCAATATTTTTTACTTTATTACTAAAGAGTGGCAATAACAATATAGTAAAACCAACATGAAGTTGAGAGAAAAAAAACCACATATGGCTCTAATTTTATCTATGCTACCTAGTAACCTTGCTTTGGGTCTCAGTTCTCTAATTCATAAAATGAGAGGATTAAGCTTGAGATCTCCAAGATTACTCTGGGTCTAACACAGTATGATTTTATGAAAATACAACCACCCTCACCATAATTAAAAAATCTTACCAGTTTCTGATTTATTCAAGATAGATGAATAGGAGTAGTTTTGGCTGACATAATCACTGGTAGAGCCCACAGAACCTTCTCTTGGAAGTGGACCTATAAATCGGTCATGGACACTATCATCCCCGGCACTGGAATCCTCCTAAAATGCAGCACAACCAATATTTACTGAGTGGCACATGTTGCTCAAACAATGGGGAAAAAAAAAACAAACAAAAACCACACTAATTGCTGAGGCAATGAAAAAACATGAGGCCTTACAGTTACCACCAAGACATTCAAAGGAATGTACACCCTCACCATTTCCTACAGGAAGACTCAAAAGACACCCAATGTAAAACATGTTGGAGAGATGCTCTGGTCTCCTTTCAAAGTTCTTACTTTTGTAACTTTCCTAATTCTTTTTCAAATTTTGTTTATGAGAGAAGGATAAAGTTCCACTGTGAACTCTTTTGATGACAAGAGTGTATCATTCATTTTTACATCATCCTTGCCAAGTAGACCTGGCAGATAGGGCATACTTAAAAACTGTTGGATAAAATGGATCATTTCCTACTGTCTCCAGTAAGAAACTTCCTATTAATGAGAAAGATGTGAAAAAGGATTCAGGGATATATACTTAGCATAAGCAGTTAAGACGGAGCTGAAGAGTAATTACTATGCATTTTAAAACATGAATTCCCAAACTGTGGATCTAGAGCTCCCTAAATTAATAGCTAATTTATATTTCAATGTCATTCAGACAAATCAAAATCTTCTCGAGATATCATAAAAGTAACTGACGGGATAGAGCATATTCTAGTATTGTTTCAGTATGGATGCTCTGTTTAACTACTGTCTACTGTCCAGACAGGTATTCTAATTCACAATAGACTTCTACATGAAAAGCATCAAAGAGAACTTTTCTTGAATGAAGTTTCATTGAAGAGAAGTGTTCTAAAAAAAAAGTCCATAAACTCTGTGAGCCTTACTTTCCTGAGTCAGTAAAACAACAAGGTAAATCAGACCAGGTTTTCTCAATTATTTTTAGGAATGCCCCTCAAATTGGGAGTTACTGGATTAGATGACCTCTAAGACCACCGGACCACACAGGAAAGGCAAATACTAAAAGAAAAGAAATAAAGCACATAACTTACAAACTAGCTATTCCAAAAAGAAGGGGGGAGAGTGATAGCAAAAATGTCAGAGTAGAGAATTCTGTGGGTCTGTCCCTACCCCAAAATACAGAAAAATCTAGGCATAACTGCCAAGGACTTACAGCAACTATGCAAATACTTAACCAAAGGAAAGGCCACTGAAACAGAGGAGAAGATCTCTGTGGTATTCTATTTTATCCTAGATCCACCCCAACCCTGTCATGGTGGTAGCCTTGAAGATGGCAACCTCTGTTCCCAGTGCAGCAACGTACTATATACACACACAACAGTGCTTTGGACGTCCACTGTTACCCTATTAACATATACACTTATAACAAACCAACATAAAATAGACAAATAATTTATTATATATAAATTACAAATCATATCTCTTCTCCTTCCTTTGGAATCCTGCTTCTCAACAGTGACAGTCCACAAAAAATACGAATATGGGGCTTTCTAAATAGTTTACCAGCAGTATTTGAGGCTGTTCACCATCTTTATCTGTCAAATGCAGAAAGTTCTTCTTTCCTGGCTCAAAATTAGCATCAAGAAGAGACTTGTCACTGGTATGGTCCAGTGGAGCCTATGGGCATAAAATAAAATATCTCAGATTATGAGGAACATTAATTATAATAAAATAAAACAAGTAATATGTAAATGAACACATATCCACAATCCTTGTGCTCAAACACTGTTTTTTAAAGTGAAGATTCTGGTAAATTCTGTTAATCTAGACTTGGAATTAACTCATTTTCTCATATATTAGGGTGGCTAAGCCCAGTGACAGTACATATACTGACAGGTATCCCAGATGTTCACATTTCCCAACATTTAAAAAAACTGGAGAGAAAAAAGGTAAGGTTAAGAAGTAATATTAAGTATTGTGCAGGGGCGCCTGGGTGGCGCAGTCGGTTAAGCGTCCGACTTCAGCCAGGTCACGATCTCGCGGTCCGGGAGTTCGAGCCCCGCGTCGGGCTCTGGGCTGATGGCTCAGAGCCTGGAGCCTGTTTCCGATTCTGTGTCTCCCTCTCTCTCTGCCCCTCCCCCGTTCATGCTCTGTCTTTCTCTGTCCCAAAAATAAATAAATGTTGAAAAAAAAAATTAAAAAAAAAAAGTATTGTGCAAAAAAACTAATTATAAACATCTGTGTTTCTATGTTCTCTAAAAAGTCTGCAATATAGTATGTAACACATTTTTATGAAGACTCGCTAAAGATAATTTTATATAACTAATAACTGTAAAAACATGTTTTGATATATGAATATGAGAATTCCCAGATAAGCAACACACTAAGCAACCTAACCAAAATAATTATGTAATATACCAACATGGGCACTTTCAGAAAGACTCCTTAAGGAACAACCTGTCCTAGTAAATGATAACCTATTTCAAGTTCACTGCCAGGATCCAGAGGATTCCAGGAGGACAGAAGTGATTACTCTTTTGAAAATTAAACATCTAAGATCTGTAATCTTTACCTAACTCTTTTATCTGATAGGGCAATTTCATTCTGATACACTCTGGTTGGTGGACGACAGATGGAGCTCTGTGTGCTCCAAGTCTACAGTAGGGACTCACCCACACACTAGTCCACTGTTGAGAAAAATAAGAGATGAAATGAACACCCCATTCTTTTTGTTTTAAAACTATTTTGTTATATTAAAAGATGTTTTTAATGTTTCCATGACATGAGGAATGCCTCCTTAGAAAAACTTATTTTATGGAAATGCCTTTCTTAGGAACTTACATTATATAAAAGTATAGGTATTAAGGATAAAAATACAAAACCTACCTATAAAAGATGCTGCCACTTGCTATATGTGTGACTCTGAGCAAGTTACCTCCATTTCCCCATAACTCCGCTTCTTTACCTATAATATGAGGCTGTAATAGCACCTACCTCACAGAGTGGCTGTAAGGACTAAATGAGATTTTCTGTATAGAGCCTCATAACAGAATGATACTAAGCACATAGTAAGTTCAAATAAGTGTTAAGTACATAAAATAACAAACTTATATGGTCTCTCTTAATAGGCTTACATCTAGAAATCCATGAGCAATATGGGACATAGAAAATCGGAAGCTAAGAGAAGCCACATGGAAGGAGGAAAGGTATGTTTGGGTCCTCTACGTTCTCTGATAAGAGATCAGATAATATAGCTGGAATACACAGGAGGTTTTACCTCAACAAATCTATGTGTATGAGGTGGTGAGTAGCTATGTGGGTTAGGTTTTCACGTAAGTATACATAAGCAGGTGCAAAGAGTATGCTTTCAGAAATGTACAGTAAGCAAACAAAAATACAGAAGTCAAGTACTTGAAGTCAGTCATAGCCACACAAAGAGAAGAAGGTAATCCTGACATAGAGCTATTTAAACATAGTGTAGGTGCTAATTTAATTTTTTTTTTTTAATGTTTATTTATTTTTGAGACAGAGACAGAGCACGAGCGGGGAGGGGCAGAGAGACAGGGAGACACAGAATCGGAGGCAGGCTCCAGGCTCTGAGCTGTCAGCACAAAGCCCGATGCAGGGCTCGAACCCACAAACCGTGAGATCATGACCTGAGCCGAAGTCGGATACTTAACCGACTGAGCCACCCAGGCGCCCCATGTAGGTGCTAATTTAACACACATTTTTAGAGTGCCTAGGGAGACTATCTATGGAAGATGCAAAATTATTACTATGAGGTCCCAGCCACTAAAACATACACATTCTACCACATGGAAAGACACAAATGAATAACAATAAAAAGAAGGCTCTGATAAGTGGTATAGCAGAAGAGGAAGTATAATCAGGGTATAAAGAGAAAGATTACTTACAAGGTGGCATGAGGAAACATCATGTAAGGTTTCTTAAAAGTGAAAGGTACATGAGACTTGGGGAGACACACATGATGGTACAGAACTATCCTTTAAAACGAGGCAACATTAGAAGTTACGTGGTGATATAACAGAGCATTCAGAGTTTCAGATTAAATATTACTTCTCTTTGTATATCTTGTTGGACTACCATTTTTACTGATCAATTTCAGAGGGAAAAGTTGGTTACTTTAAAACATTAGCTCTATATTTTAAAAATGCAAATAGATTATGGAATAGAAAGCAAAATACCATGGATTTTAAGGGCAAATCAAGCAACATCAAACATCTTTGATTCACCTATGGACCCAATTAAAACTCTGCTCTCTAAATATGACAGAGATAACACATTCAATTTCATTTCCCATCAGAGGTATTTCCCTACAGAACTTAAGAATAGCAATCACACAGACAGAAAGAGGTGATGTAAGCAAAAACATGGAGATGGAAAAGCATGGAAATTTGTGTTAAGAAAACAAATTAGTTTACAAAGTCTTAAAGGACCCACTGTAGCTTGTTTACAAGCTTGCTTAGCTTAGGGAACCTGAGTTTTAATTGGTGAGCAGTTATACCATTTCCAATATTATTCTGATAGTGCAGATAAGATCCAACTAAAATGGTCTCTCACATGCAAAAGTGATCAATGCCTCCTCTTTGCACTCAGAACAAACTTACAATAGATTACTTCAAACACGTTAGTGTAATTATTTGGCAATACATCTATTTCTACAACAGCACTGTGAGATCTCTGAAGCAAAAGTCACGGTAACACCAAGCTTCTATCAGGTGCCTACCACTGTATATGGTACATAATCTCTGTTAACATGGGTGTATATCCTTCCTTTCCTTTTCCTTTATACATACATTTTTCTCTTCTTTTCCAAAAATTAGATAAAATACACATGGTCCCATATCCTGTTTTTTTCACTTAAAAAAATGAGTAATATTCCATGCAGTAAATGTTGGAAAATTTTTTATAGTTGACACAATATGATAGTCCTTTTACATGAATGAATTAAAAACTGATGTCATTCTGCAAACTTTAGGACAAGCAAATGTTAAATCCAGAATGAAGGCAAAAGGATGAAGAGGGATCCAATCATTGAGCTGCACATGGGCTCTTAAATTACTTATTACAGTTTTGCTTATGATATTAAAAAAGGTTCAGGATTTAATATACTCATTATTAACAATAGCAATAATTACATTATTATTAGCAGCTTAAGAGAACATGCTTTAAGTCTAGGGCTTTACCATATCAGCAGTATTGATTCCATTTCCCCACACTAAATCAAAGGTTCCATTTATGTAGCCTACTTTGTTGGCCACATCTTCAAAGAGCTTCCTGAGTGGAGTAGAAGCTGGCAAATTTAAAGTGATCCGTTCATTCACTGTCTTTGAATTAGTAGTATCTTGTATTATACATAAAACTCTAGGTTCTTCAGCAGCATTTTCTATCTGAAATTAAAACAAACAAACATTGTTTATCTTTAAAGAAAAACAAAACAATTATAATTAGCCATATTTTCTATGATTAAATGTAAACATATCCCACAAAATATTATTTTCTCTAAGCTAGTATTACTGTTTTGTTATGTCTGAAATCCACTGTAATGGATATGTCAGACATATAAAGCACCTTATGTGTTTGTTTTGGAAAAACTAGGGTATATTTAAGAATCAACAGTCATTCTTGTGGATATTTGCTTTTGCCTTTTTAAGGCTGTAAATCAATGGTCAACAAGGTGTGAAGTCAGTATACTTGAGCAATTTTCATTTGAAAATAATAAAATATGATCCTTAAAAATGTGTCATTAGCACAGTTGAATCTAGCATTTCTGGGTTTCCTGAAGAAACAGAAAGGGAACTGTGTAGAAATAAGTGTGAATTGTCTAAAATTGGAAAATCCCTAACTAGGGGGCACAGGCAACCAGGATCCTGATCTTTGTGTTACTGTATCTGTACACCAGATGTCCAAAAGCCCCATTTATCAACGTGTTGGGAACTGACAAGCTTATGTAAACAGATCAGCCAGCAGAGGCAGGTAAAGAAAAGCAAGGGGGGAAAATTTTTCAATTACCAATGTAGAAGGAAGTTAGGGTCACAAATTTTTCTTCCTGCTTTTGCATCCAGTACATAACTCAGTAATTATCAAGACAAAAAGTTTTCAAAGGAGACATTCTCCAAGGAGCTCTGCCCTCCCTCTCAAGCTGTTGAAGGACATTGCTTTTCTTTTTCTTTCCACAGGGGTAGTAGGCTGCATCAGATACTTTAATGTAAGAAGTTCTTTCTCTCCTTCTCCTATAATGCCAAACTCAGTGAATGGCACCATCATCTACCTGCTGCTGAAACTAGAGTTCTGAGCATCTTCCTCATCTCTTCCCTCTTCTTCACCTCACAAAATCACCAAACTTCCGTCAATTCTACCTTCTGAATATCTCTTGAGCCATCCTCCTTTCTCTTTATTCCTGTCTGCAGCAATCAAAATCTTATACCAAGATTATGGCAATAGCTTCATGAGAGGTTTAACTTTTTCTAATCTTATCTTCCTTCAATCCAGAATAGTATTTTAACATGCAAATCTGATTATGCAAATCTCTTGCTTCCCCTCAAAATCAAGGGCAGCATTTAACTGGGGTAAGTCTCACCATCCCCATAACAGGCTTTACAGAAATATGAACTCTACAACCGGTTATGTATACAATCATTTATTTCTTTCCTTCTCTTTTACAACAATATCAACTCCAACCTTTTGTTACTTCTATATTACCCATTTTTAAACAATAATTATTGAATTACTGAATAGTACTGAAGACAGGATAGCCACAAGGTTTATCTGTTTGTTTGGTGGAGCAATACGATTATAATTTGTTTCTGGTATATACAGTTTTGGGTTTGCAAGAGATTATTTAAATTAAGGTTAATCCAAGTAGTTTAGAACAAAAATAAATTTCTATAAAATAAGTATAATGTTTAAAGTAGTCATCTATTTTAAATAGACTATTTTACACATTGGCTAGCATATTTAGGCAAATCAAAATATTTAATTATAAATAATAATTCATTTAAAAATGAAAAAAGGAAAATACATTTCTATAAAATACACAGGATAACAAAAAAGAGCATTAATAATGATTCTCAGAAAGGGGGGAAAAAGCCTTCCTCTACAAACATAAGGTGTCATATTAACACATGTAATGATTGCTTCACACCTTTTAATCCCAAACTGAGGAACATAAAGTGGGCCTTTTTAAACTCTAGTTTACAGTAAAAGAATTAACAATTCAAAATAACTTTCAAATATAAAAGATCCACTTTCATAGTTTCAAACAATATACTTCAGAAGTAGATTCAAGTTTTCCAACTATAAAATACCATGGGGCCAGATTTTAAAACCTCACACAGACTAGAACTGATGGTCCTAGAAGATGACCCTACCAAAGAATTCAGAAATCCAAAGTGTTAGCATAATAGTATACACAAGAATAACGCGGCAACATCATATGGCCAGACCTTAGCTGTTCCTGCCTCTTCCCCTAAGTATGTGAGCATAAGGTATAGGCGCTCTCTTTCCACTCCACTCCTCCTCCCTTTCCACTAAAAAATGTGGAGAAATTATCCCAAAAGGAATCTCATCTGAATCTGAAGACTAATGTACTACAGTAAACACAAAATTTAATCTCATGTGTGCCTTTTATTCTTTTTAAGGACAATGGCTTTCTTTTCTGTGAACTGTATAAAAATAACTTTGCTCATTTTTTTTAATAGGAAGAGTATAAAGACAAAAGTAAAAATCGTCTGTACCCCATAACACACAGATAACTATTAACATTTTGGAGTATATCCTTCCAAATATATTTGCTCACATACACATGCACACTTAAAAACACATACACTGGGTTAGAATATGTATGCTGTTTTGTAATTTCTTTCTTTACTAATAAATGTATCATGTAATCTTTCCATGTCAAACTTTTTCTAACTTACCATTTTTAACAGGTGATAGTATTTTATTACATGGATTAATAATAATTTGTTCTATCAGTTCTTTGTTACTCACTCTTAGGTTAGACTTCATTACATTTTAGTAATAATTCTGTGATGAACATCTACATATAACTGTGTGCTTTTCTACTTCCTTAAAATTCCTATAAGCAGAATTTCTGAGCTAACTACACCTTACTCTTGAATTCAATTCTAGAATAAGTGAAACAAACAAAAATCTCTGCTATTCTTTAAGGCTCTAAGCTAGCCACTTAAAAATCTTATTACTTCAGACTCTGCCTTCTGGCCTGTTATTTCTAATTTAATCTAACATATGGCTATCATCCATAGACTACATGTAAATTTTTCATAACACTACTGCCAACACTAATCACTCCCCTTATATCCCCCCAATCTCAGACCTGGTAAGAAAAAAAAAATCATTTCTCAATTCTCAGATATCATCAATAAAAGTGTAACAATAACTTTATAACAGTTTTTTAAGAAAAAAAAAAAAAACCCTCTACATTGTTTATTAAACATGCAGATTTCCAAAACATTTAAATGTAAAAAGGTGTATCTTGGAATTAGGAAAATAGGGTAGCTACCATTCTTGTTTTCTTTGGAGCTCTGCCCCTGATTGAGCCCATTTACACCCAAAGGAAAAAGCATTACCTTGAGGTAAATGAAAAACGGCTAGATTCTTTGCCACTCATTATCTTTTTCCCCTTCCCATGAATCTGAACTGGCCTTGTGACTATCTAGGACCAACAGAATGTGACAGAAGTGACACTGTGTGATTTAAGGCAGGACCTTAAAAAAAATTAGCAGCTTCTGCTTTTGCACCTCTTGGAACATCCCCTCTTATGAGTAACAACAACAACAACAACAACAACAAAAAATCCCACTTACCCTGGGACCACAATGCTATGAGGAAGCCCTACACAGAGAACACGTGGCCACATCAGAGGAGCACTGGGGTGCCTAATAACGGAGAAAAGCCTTCTTGGACATGTCATCCAAAGCCCAGATAAATGCAGCCAAGTAATGATCCCAGATGATGCTACATAGACCAGAGAAACTGACCAGCTGAGCCCCAGATCCCATCCCACTGAATTGTGAATAAACTAGTTGTTGTTTTAAGCCACTAAGTTTTGCGGTAGGCTGTTCTACAGCCTTAGACAACAAAAATGTACTTAAACACATTGAAGCACAGCAAGCACTAGATGGAAAGGATGTAGTGATGGTGGTGTTGGCATACCAGAGCAGGGAAGGTATCCATGTAAACACTAAATGCAACATTAAGGTAAGGCATCTAAGGATACATCATAATTTAGGAAAGAGAGCACAGTTTTTGAGTTAAAAGAGTTTTATGATGAATAAGAGAAAACAAGTGCAAAGCTTTAGAAAAGCCTAAAGCATGTTCCACTTGGGAAAATATTTCATGTGTCTTAGGTGAGCTATGAGATGGGCACAAAGTTCTCTACACAGAAAATCTAGACAGTTAGAAAAAAGATACAAACTATAAAATTAAAACCACTTATTTTATGGACAACTCATAGCAATATTAGACTAGTGAGAATAAGGGAAAAGTCCACAGCAGTTACATTACGACTGTGCATGCTAACAGAGCATTTGGTCTGTGCCCGTCTGTGCTCACTGCAGAAACAAAGCTGGATTTCCTAACATACTCTGAAGAAAGAATTCTTGAAAAAACAAAGTAAAAAACAAATTTAAACCACAGTCTTATTTACAAAAGATAAATATTGGGATAAAAATACTGAAAACGTATTTTCTTCCAAAGATAAGCTCGCTGTTAGGGATATCCTGCAGAGGTCGACACAAGATTGTTCTGTCTGAGGGATCGCAGAGTCTGCCTGACAGCATGTTCACTTCTTAAATCAGGGCATCTCCTTTTCTTGGCATTCCTAATAGTTCTAAATTCAAATCTGAGTTCTCTGAAATTAACGCCATAATTTTTGTTTCATTAAAAAACACTTCCTAGGTGTTCCTTATTTTAAAAGCAAGGTGTATAATTGATAGCATATATTTGGAATGTATTAGCATGTAGAAAACAACTTAATATCAAACAAAACTCAGTTTCCAAGATGCAGATTTTTCTAAGAAACAAAATTAATATAAAGAATTTTAAAACATTACAAAGGGACCTCTTGACCTCTAAATTTAATAATCAACCCATTTTCTCTCAAGACTTTCTTCTTTTCAATGTTATTACAAGGAATAACATTATGGTTGTAAACTTACACACACACAAAGTCCATTCTCCCTACTTCTTGGTACAGGAGCTGCTATGAGCTAAGAAATCAGGCCTTAGCACATTACCCTTCTGGGTACCCACAGTGAATACTGCCATAGATTAAAAAAGAGAACTGAGGGAATGAATATTTTTGCTGACTGAAACTTATTAAATTTATCAGCCTCATTCAGATATGCATTTTTACTTTAACAAGTGA